AAAAAAAAAAAAAAAAAAAGAAGAAGAAGATCTTCGTGAAAGCACTCATCATCAACAAAACCATGGATAAAGATAATAATGGAAGTATAGAGACGGCACAGGGTGGAGGGAGGTGAGGATGAAGGTATTGCTAGGGCATATGGGAAAGTGCCCAGCCCAGGCCAGCCACCCATTTGATGTCCCAAAGAGGAGCAGCGTGTGTCCAAAATTAGAGCTAGAGGAAGTAGAACTAGGACTCAAGAGCGGGTGTGGTGGCTCATGCCTGTAATCCCAGCACTTTGGGAGGCCGAGGCGGGTGGATCATTTGAGGTCAGGAGTTCTAGACCAGCCTGGCCAACATGGTGAAACCCTGTCTCTACTAAAAACACAAACAATTAGCCAGGCGTGGTGGTGGACTCTTGTAGTCCCAGCTACTCGGGAGGCTGAGGCAGGAGAATGGCTTGAACGCGGGAGGCAGAGGTTGCAGTGAGCCGAGATCGCTCCAGCCCGTCTCAAAAAACAAACAAACAGAAAAAAGAACTAGGAATCAAACCAGTGAACCTTAAAGGGGCTTCAGTCTCATCTCATCCTACAATCCCATCCTGTAGATCGGAAGATAGAGAACCTGCCCAAGATCCCAAATTGAGCCCAGAAGACTTGGGCCCAGCCTCATTCATTCCCTCCACTTTCCCCCTCACCGGGCCCACCTGTGTCAGATGCTGTTCAGAGGCAAAGCCAAGGCCGTAGACGGTGTTGGCGCGACTGTCCGCCCACTGCCCGAACTTCTGGGAGGTTTTGGTGAAGGTCATGTTGGGAGTGACAGTGCTGTTGATGATGGCCTGGGGTTGGGAAACAAAGTTCAAGGTTGATGGGACAGATAATAACAAACATGAAAGCCCCCAGGTATCACCTTGTATTAGGGTCTTGAAGGTCTTTACTCTGAACCATTTCAGGAGACAGAAGGCCCAGGGTTTCCCATCCCTTGGGCACACAGCAAGCCAGCCACTAGACCCAGGTTTGTCACCAGGACTCCTGGTGCCTCTTCCCCACCCAGACCCCACCCGGACCTTGGCGCCCCCGATGCTGATGATGCGGTAGACATTGCGGGTGGCATCGTAGAAATAGGAGACAGTGAGTGCATGCTTGCCCGCCGGGATCCAGTTTCGCTTGGTGGCCGGGTCGATCTGGAACACGTGCGCCCGTGTGCTGAAGATTGGCTGCTCCCTGCATGGGGACAGGGTGTTTGGTGGGGGCCAGGCAACCCCCTTAGACAGCTCAAAACCCCGGGCTGGGGGAAGTGGGAGCTCACCTGGCTGTGGACATTGGTCAGGTCGGGATGGGCAGGCTCTAGGGGGCAGCCAGAGAGGTGGCAGGAGCGCTGCTTTGGCCCCTAGGGAGAGAGCAGGGACTATGAGTGTCCCTCAGGCCAGGCTGAGGCCAAGCAGGTTCCACCTCAGAACCCATCACCAGGTGTGCCGTCATGGAACTTTCAATCAAAAAGGCAGGAAAGGCCCAAAGTACACCCTGTGCTTTGGGAGGCTGAGTCAAGAGAATTCTTTGAGCCCAGGAGTTCGAGACCAGCCTGAGCAACATGGCAAGACCCCATCTCTACCAAAAATTTAAACAATTAGCCGGGTGTGGTGGCATGTGCCTGTGGTCCCAGCTACTCGGGAGGCTGAGGTGGGAGGATTGCTTGAGCCCAGAAGGTCAAGGCTGCAGTGCAGTGAGCTATGGTCACGCCACTGCACTCCAGCCTGGACAAGAGAGCAAGACCCTGTCTCAAAAAAAGAAAGAAATTATAAAAAGAAACAAAAAGGCAAGATAATTGCTATAGATCACTCGGAGCAAGCGGACCCCATCTTTCTTTGACTGGGGGAAGCCCCCACAACACCCTGTACAGGAGATGGCCCTCTGAGAGGAGCCTGGTGGCCACTGACATCCAGATGTAAATTTCTCATTGTCCCGGTTATTGCACCCCCGTGAGGTCCCCTCCATCCTGGGCTGAACTGTGGAAGCCAAATCTCTGCTGAATTCTTTCCACCACATTCACCCATGACTGGCCAGAGTGGGGCTCTCCATCAAAAAGTGGGGCATTGAGAGGTGTGTAGTATCAGGAGACCAGTTTCCCACTACATCCTGCAGAGGGACCCCACCCCCCACAGCTCCCACCCTAGGGCAGAGGCACACCTTGAAGTTCAGAGTCCAAATCCCCAGGGAGTCCCTAGCCAAGTTAAAAAGACAAGATGTAGACAAACGGCCAATCCCAGTGCCCACCATGGGGGGCAGAGCAGAATCCACATTGGGAGCACAGGGCTCCCCAACCTCCCCATTGGGCCATTCAGCAACCCCGAATGTGCAGGGGACCAAGGAGGGGTTTGGAGGAGGGGGAAGACAGGTGGGGGAGGGGAGGCCCCGGCCCAGCGGCCTCTGTGGTCAAAGGGGGGATGCCCCCCCCATCCTGTCCTGGGCAGCTGCTGTCCTGGTCACAGGGTCTGAAACCGGAGCCCCTGAGTGGGGGTGGGGCGGCAGCTCTGGCCTGGAAAGGGGGCGGGTCCTGTGCCGGGTGGGAGTTAGGGAACACAGGGGTCCCCGGAACCCAGGCCCTTCCGGTCCGGCAGCTCCTGCTGCGACTTGCAGCGTTTGGGGAAAGTTACTCACCAACTAGTCATGCGCCTCGGATGCCGCCGGCCACGGGGCTCCCGGAGGGGGGTCCTACACCGCCCGGTGCCCGGGATCCCCAATCTGGCCGGTGAATGAGGCCCCATCCCATGTACCCCAGTCCGGAGAACGGGGGGTTACTATTAATTCAGGATTCCATCCCCACCCGAGGCAGGAGGACACCCAGTGCGCGCCCCAACTCCGGGACATGTGCCCTGCCCCTGGAACTTCCGAGATTCCCGCGACGCCCCCTGTCTCTGGGTCAAGAACTTCGGGGGACACCTCTTCTGCCTCCTCCAACCCCAGGTCGGTAACTCCGGGGACTCTCTCCCTGTCTCCTCTCTAACCAGGTCCGGGACCCGGGTCCCCCGCGTTGTCCCAGACTGCTAAACTTCGAAGACCCCCTGCCATCCCTCCAGTCCCTGGGTCCGGGACGTCCGGACCCCTCCCACGCCAGTACCCCACCCCAGGTCCGCAACTTTGGGGACCCCTTCGCAGCCTCCTCCAACGCCGGGTCCAGAACTTTGGGAACCTTCCGCGCAGTCCCCTCTCCGACCCTGAATCCAGAAGTTCGGGACCCCCGCGCTCCCTCCAGCCCTGGAACTTGGGGACCCCCTGAGCCGCTCCCAGTCCCCGGGTCCGGAACTTCTGGGGACCCCCCGCGACCTCCCCTTGGCCCTGGGACTTCGAGGCCCCCGCGCTCCCGGCGCAGGCTCGGCCGGCCGGGCTCACCCTGCCGGGTCGGCACCCCGCGAGTGTCCAGGCGCGGGTCGGGTGCGGCCCCCGCGGCGCTGACTCCGCGCTGCCGGGCGCCCCGCTCGCTCCCTGGCTCCCGGGCCCGCGCCCTCCGCGCCGCCCTCCGCGCCGCCCGCGCCTTTGTCTGCGCCGCCGCCGCCGCCGCCCGCGCCGCCTCCGGTCCCATCGCGGCCGGTCCCGACGCGGCCGCCGCCCGCCCCGCCTCCCCGGGCCGCCAAGGCCGCCCCGCTGCGCCCCCTGCTGGCTTTTTGCAGCGGGAGGGGTAGGGGGGAGGGGACACGGGGGAGGAGCGGGGCCCGGGACTGGGGAAGAGAGGGAGGATTGGGGGAGGGGGCTAGGGCAATGGAGGGGGACTGGGGTGGGTTGCGGGGGGTCGGAGTTGGGAGCAGAGGGTGAGGACAGAGAGATAGACGGAGAGGGACATCTGGGATGATAAAGAGACCCAGAAACAGAGACACGGGGGAGACAGGCGGAGAGATAGGAAGTAGATGGAGGGAGTTGTACGGACTGCGATGTGACCTCTCACCCTCCTGTCACCTTCTCAGGGGACAGCTGCCTCTCTCCCCACTACCTGAAGTCATAACTTTGGGCCTGTGAGGGAGGTCAGGTCCCTCCCGGGCTGACATGGGTGGCCCAGTGAAGTTGGGGAGGGGGCAGTGGGTCCCAGGGTCTGCATACAGTAAGTGCTCAATGGGTGTTGCCAGGAAACGGAAGAGATCAACTTTGGGAGGGAACGGGAAGCAAGACAAAGAGAGAAACCTTCCTGTCTGTCCTCCTGACCGCCCCATCCCTGAGCAGGGACGTCTGTCCACCTCTGTCCCTCCCAAGATGATGGTAAAAAAGCCCACAATGGTGGGATTAGGGTGATCATTGCTGTTGTTTGAGGTTTCCAGGATCCAAAGGTTGAGGGAATGTCTCCAACGCATGGTTATATCCCCTCAGCCTCCACTGGCCTGGGTTTGTCACCTCTGGTCACAGGTAGCACCCCCTTCCCACACTCGCCAGGAGAGCGTCCTTCCGGAGTTGAGCTGAGATCCACCTCCCCAGCCCCAAGCCCATGGGTCCCACTTGTCAATCCTGGTGCCAGCCCCTCTCTGGCACCTTCTCCAAAATTACACAGTGCTGTTGGTTCATTCATGGGCAGAGGCCCGGAGCTCCCTGGAATCAAGGCCTGTGGCGCCCTAAAGCTCTGACCTTACATTTGAGTTTTTCTTTTTTCTCCCTTTCTTTTTTTTTGAGACAAAGTCTCACTCTGTTGCCCAGGCTGGAGTACAGTGGCACAATCTCAGCTTACTGCAGCCTCTGCCTCCCAGATTCAAGTGATTCTCCTGCCTCAGCCTCCCGAGTAGCTGGGACTACAGGTTCATGCCACCACACCTGGCTGATTTTTGTATTTTTAATAAAGATGGGGTTTCGCCATGTTGCCCAGTCTGGTCTCGAACTCCTCACCTCAAGTGATCCGGCCCCCTTCGGCCTCCTAAAGTGCTGGGATTACAGACATGAGCCACTGCACCTGGCTGTTTTTTGACAACTTCAGAGAGGCTTTTGCTTTTCATCTCCAAGACCTCTGCTCCTGTCTCCTTTCCCTGTTCCTTTATTTCTGTTTCCTTCTAAGAAGAATAGTATATCTGAGCTGGTAGTTACATTTGAATTACCTTTAGGTGAATTCCAGGTCAGATTGTCTTTGGAGATTGACTCCTGGACCAAGATCTGAGTCTTTCCCCTCGTCCAGGCCTTTGCCCAAACTGTTCCGTCCACCTGGAATGCCCTCTCTGCAGGCATGTCTTCCACCTTGTCCTTCCAGGCTCAGCGCCACCACCCTGTCTCCTCCTCCAGGAAGCCTCTCTGACTACCCTGGCCTTGGAAGGGATCTTTCCCTCCCCTGTCCCAATCCCTGTGACTCTTTCTTTCTTTCTTTCTTTTCTTTTTTAAAGTTTATTTTTAGAGACAAGGTCTCACTATGTTGCCCAGGCTGGTCTCAAACTCCTGAGCTCAAGTGATCCTCCCACCTCAGCCTCCCAAAGTGCTGGGATGACAGTGGTGAACCCAAACCCTTTCTGTGACTCTTATGTTACCTGTTTATTACATGACCAGGTCTGGGTGCTCCTCTAGGGCTGGCCCATCCATCCTGAAGCCCCAGTCTGACCCAGCACAAGAGCGACTATTCATCTCACAGGGGAAACTGAGGCACAGACTCGGTTTCCCGGGCTGCTTCTAACTTCATGAGGCATCTGCACAAGGGAAGGATTTGGCTCTGTTCTCAGGCTGGAAGCCACGAAATGCTTGAACATTGTGGGGAGCAAAGAAAATACCGTCTGTTCTGCACAAAAAATGACTTCTCCTTATTACCAACAAAATAATGGAAAAAATAAAAAAGTATCTGGGAAAGGTGCTGGCATGGCCGAGGCTTCTGGAAGCTGTTTAGAGCTTGCCGAGTGCAGAACTGGGGCCATGTGGCTCTTCTACAGGGGCAGCTGGGCGGGGGACCCAGGCAGGCTTTGCCCTTTGTGTGGGCAGAAAGCAACAGTGAAAGAGACAGTGAAGGGTTGAGTTGTTTCCCTGAACGCCCTTTCCGGTCTCTGGGAGGGGCTGGGACAGAGCTGGCCTTGAGCAGCCCCAACCTGAATTTGGATTAGCCAAGTCTACCCTGAGGCAGTGGCTTCCTCAGTGTGGGCCTCAGTTTTCTCACCTGGAAAATGGGCTGATGCTTGCAGGGCTTCTAGTAGAGGGAGGAACATGAAGGATTCAGTCAATATCAGCAGCTGTCCTCTGGGGTGCCTTCCATTAGGTTCGTAGACAGAGGCCCTGCCACTCTTTGCTGCAGCTGGGGAAACTGAGTCAGTGCCTCAGTTTCCCTGCTGGGATGAACAGTCACTCTTGTACTGGGTCAGACTGAGGCTTCAGGATGGATGGGCCAGCCCTAGAAGAGCACCCAGACCTGGTCGTATAATAAACAGGTAACATAAGAGTCACAGAAAGGCACTGGGCTCATGAGTGTCATCCCAGCACTTTGGGAGGCTGAGGCTGGAGGATTGCTGTAATCCCAGCACTTTAAGAGGCTGAGGCAGGCAGATCACCTGAGGTCAGGAGTTTCGGACCAGCCTGGCCAAAACATGGTGAAACCCCGTCTCTATTAAAAATACAAAAATTAGCCGGGCATGGTGGTGCACACCTGTAATCCCAGCTACTCGGGAGGCTGAGGCAGGAGAATTACTTGAACCCAGGAGGCAGAGGTACAATTGAGTTGAGATCAGCTCACTGTACTCCAGCCTGGGTGACAGAGGGAGACTCTGTCTCAAAAAAGAAAAAAAAAAAAGGGAAGGAAGGAAGAAAGGGACTTGGGATGTCCTTGCAGGGCAGGCAGAGGCCACCACCCCAAGGTGGCTGACTAGGAAAGTAACTTTCCTTTGGGGCTGAGAAATGGTGTGGAAGAATGAACTTCCTGTCTTAAAGGGGAAACCAAGCGGGAGCCCGAACAGCTCATTCAGCACTAAGAAAACTGCATTTGCAGAATGGCTTTTATGACTCAGGCTCTGGTCTCTGCCCAGTTAGATCTGACCCAGCATTTGGAGTGAGGCTAAACTGTCTCTCCTCTCCAGAGGTTTTCTGTGCCACCAGAGCAGGGACAGTCCAGCCTCTCTTCCCCAAAGCTGGGTGTCCACCTCCCAGTGAAGGTCTTGGTGACTACTTCAGGTCTGTTTATGGCATGATTTGGTTACTATTCACCTCTTACATGGATTTGTCCGGCACCTAGAACAAGCCTGACCTGTGACAGCTTTCCTTTTTTTTTTTTTCTCTGTCGCCAGGCTGGAGTGAAGTGGCGGGATCTCGGCTCACTGCAACCTCCAATCCTGGATTCAAGTTATTCTCCTTCCTCAACTCCTGAGTGGCTGGGACTACAGGTGCTCACCACTACACCTGACTAATTTTTGTTTTTTTTAGTAGAGACGGGATTTCACCATGTTGGCCAGGATAGTCTCAATCTCCTGACTTCATGATCCGCCAGCCTCAGCCTCCCAAAGTGCTGGGATTACAGGCGTGAGCTACCGCGCTTGGCCCCTGTGACAGCTTTCTATGAGCACTTTCAGAAGTAGGAGATCCCCAGGTTCCAGCTTTCGACTTGGTGGCTTTCAGAATCACGTGAGCCAGGGAGTGAATCCCAGAATCCCAGCCCTGCTGCTTACCAGCAGTGCCACCCTGAAGAAGTCACTTTTTCTTCTTTGTGCCTCAGGTTCCCCATCCATAAAATGGGCATATGAATTGTGTTCACTTCTGAGGTTTACTGTAGGGATCTAATGAATTCTTTCTTTTTCTTTTCTTTTTCTTTTTCTTTTCTTTTTTTTTTTTTTTGAGACAGAATCTTGCTCTGTCACCCAGGCTGGAGTGCAATGCTGCGATCTCAGTTTGCTGCAATCTCTGCCTTCTGGGTTCAAGCGATTCTCCTGCCTCGGCCTCCCTAGTAGCTGGGATTACGGGTGCACGCCACCATACCCAGCTAATTTTTGTATTTTTAGTAGGAACAAGGGTTTCACCATGTTGGCCAGGCTGGTCTCCAACTCCTGGACTCAAGCAATCCACCCGCCTTGGCCTCCCAAACTGTTGGGATTACAGGTGTGATCCACCACGCCCAGCCCCTTTTTTTGAGACAGGGCCTCACTCTGTTCTAGGCTGTAGTACAGTGGCTCAATCATGGCTCACTGCAGCCTCAACTTTCTGGGTTCAAGCAATCCTCCCACCTCAGACTCCTGAGTGGCTGGGACTACAGGTGCACACCACTACACCTGACTAATTTTTGTATTTTTTGTAGAGACGGGGTGTCACTATGCTGCCCAGGCTGGTCTCCAACTCCTGGATTCAAGTGATCTGCCTGCCTCAGCCTCTCAAAGGGCTGGGATAACAGATGTAAGCTACTGCACCTGGCCTCCAATGAGTTGTTATGTGAAGAGAACGTGATTGTAGGTGCTTAATAAATGCTTGCTATTGTAAACATCCTGTTTATTTTTAGTATGTGGTTTTGATCCTGAACCAACTTCTTACTCTTTTCTTTTTCAGAAGTTAGAGGACTGCAACCAGGCCTGAACTCTCAAGGACAGAAATGGGTCCAACCTGGCATGACATCCTCTAAATCTTTAGCTCCCAGCCCCTCAGGTGCCCCCTCCAGCTACCTCCCTCTTCCTTCTCCTCATTCCCCAAGCTATAGCTGGTTGGGCCAACCTCCAGACATTAGCCTGTTTGCAAACTCCTATTCATCCCTCAAAGCCTCACCTTCAATGCTCTCCTCCCCCAGAAGCTCTCTCTCCTCTACCTCTAGACCTTCTCCAGCCCTCTTCCCTCTTTCTGGCCCGGCCCTGACCCCTGCGAGTGCCTGTGTGCAGCTTTGACTCCTCCAGCCTGAGTGTTCCTCAAGGGTTGACACCAGGGCTGATGTTTCGCTAGAGTTTGTCACCTTCCAGCACAGAGTGGACCCATGGGGGTCAGGCAAAGGAGAGTTTGATGACTCAATACTATTGGTGATTTTGCATCACTTGAAGGAGATCCTGCCTTAAATTCAGAACTTGACTTCCGCCCACGGCCAAAGTTAATTCATTCAACAAACAATCCCACATGAAGCAACAGAGCCAGGCTCCCTCAGGCCCAGGCAAGAAAGGGTCAAGGAGTTGGGGTCGCCAGCACTGGGTTACGGATTTGAGGACCTAGGACCAGAGTGAGTTGGGGATGGGAGGAGGCAGTGCTTGAGGCCCCTCTGAGCACCAAACCTGGACCCGAGGTTCAGTTCCCGCAGACCTAATTACCCTAATTTGCCACATGCACTAATTACCTCCTGGGTGCCAGGTGGCTGGGCGGGGCTGCCCCAATTTCCAGAGGTAGGTCGGGGCCCGATTATTTTTGGCTGTGGCGTCCTTGAAGGCTCCGCCACCAGCAGCGCTTGAAGGGCAGAAAGTGGGGCGGAGAAATTGAGGCCACATCAGGGGAGGCACTGCGGGAACTGGGGGTCGGCTTAGCCTTGGAGCTCCCTGACCAGGGGTCCTTGGGCCCAAGGCCTGAGAGTCTTTGGCACCTAGCCAGAGGTGGCAAGATCTGGAGGGGCATGGCCAGGCACAATAGCTCACGCTTGTAGTCCCAGCGCTTTGGAAGGCTGAGGCATGTGGATCACGAGGTCAGGAGTTCAACACCAGCCTGGCCAATGTGGTGAAACCCTGTCTCCACTAAAAATATTAAAAAATTAGCCGGACATGGTGGCGCACGCCTATAGTCCCAGCTACGCAGGAGGTTGAGGCAAGAGAATCGCTTGAACTTGGGAGGCAGAGGTTGCAGTGAGTTGAGATCGTGCCACTGCACTCTAGCCTGGGTGGCAGAGCGAGACTCTGTCTCAAAAAAAAAAAAAAAAAAAAAAAAAAAAAAAACTCTTTTAAAAAAAAAAAAAAAAAAAAAAAAGATCTGGAGGGGCTGAGAATCAGCCAGCTCCATGGTGGATTGGTCTGAAATCTTTTTGTTTTGTTTTGTTTTGAGACAGAGTCTCACTCAGTCATCCAGGCTGGAGTGCAGTGGCACAATCTCGGCTTACTGCAATCTCCCCCTCCCGGGTTCAAGCAATTCTCCTGCCTCAGCCTCTCGAGTAGCTGGAACTACAGGTGCGTGCCACCACGCCCAGCTAATTTTTTCATTTTTAGTAGAGATGAGGTTTCGCCAGGCTGGTCTGTTGGCCAGTCTGGTCTCAAACTCCTAACTTAAGGTAGGATTACAGGCGTGAGCCACCGCGCCTGGCCCAGGTCTGTTTTGATATGACACCACAGCCACGAAAGGGGCTGCCAGGGGTTGAGGGTGGGGGTAGTCAGATGGGCCTGGGTTCATATCCCAAGTCCCACCAGCTTGCTGTGTGTTCCTGGGCATATAACCTTTCATGAACTCTTTGCACCTTTCCTGAGGGATGAAACAGGCATAATTTAAAAAGAGTGCTTTAGGCATTGGGGGTCGGAACATGTGCAAAGGCCCTGAGGTGGGGCCAGGCGGGCCATATTGGAGGAACACTATAGAGGTGTCTAGAGTGGAGTAAGTGGGAGAAAAGCTTATGGGATTACTGAGACCTAGGGGGTCACAGGAACTGAACAGAGCCTCGTGGGTCTTGGCGAGTTGTGTGGGTTTCATTCTGAAGGCACTGGGGAGCCATGGGAGAGTTTGGAGCCAAAGAGAGAGGGAGTGGTCACATTGACACTGCAGGCCCTGGGCAGGGTTTCAGCTCTGGTGTCTGTCCATGTGCAGAATAGTTGCAGACCCTACCATTCTCTGAGCCTCAGTTTCCCCACCCTGAGCAGAGTCCTGAGACTATGGCAGCCTCAGAACACAGTGGGCCCTCTGCCAGAGAAGCCCCACCCTACCCCGGAGCTCCCAAATGCTGGCTGTGCAGCCTACACGGCCTCCTCTCCGCCTGTCCCCCCATCCCACGCTCCTTCTGTGGCCTTGAGGGAGCAGCTGTGGGAACAGAGAGCAGGAGCCTGTGGGGAACGCAGCTCAGAGGGGCTCTGGGGGCCGTGTTCCTGCTTGGTGACAGCCCACATGGGGCTGCCGCGCGCCGATTGTTCTCACAGCAGCCGGGTGACTCACATGCTACAGCCTCTTCCTTGGGTCTGCCAGAGGGAGAGTATTCCTGGTAACCAGGCACAGGCCGGGGTCTCTGGTTTGGCCACCTGTGCCGTGGCTATGCCCTCTAGGATCCCCCCTACCAACACACACCAAGGGACCCCTCTAACCAGCGGTGCTGCCCACCTCCTTGCTCTAGCATCTTCCGTGGCTCTCCTGGACACCTCAGAGAGAGAGGCTCAAGCTCCTCATTGCCCATTGGTCAAGCTGCTCAGCCCCACTTCAGAGCACTTGTACTGGATCCCACTTATAGCCTGAAATGCCAGCTCTGAGGTTGTTTCCTCCAGGAAGCCCTCCAGCCCTCCTCACAACTCTGACAATCCTGACCCCCAGGACGGGGATGCGTCTGTGTCTGGCCCTGCCTCCCTCCCAGACTGGGGGCTACCTGGAGTCCAGGCCCAGGGCCCAGGCCTCTCAGGGGTCCCACTGTTATCCACTATAGGAGTGCTCAGCAGGGAATCTGGGGGAGGAAGGCAAGGTCCAAGACTGGACCCCAGGGGCCTGATATGTAACCAAATTATTTATGTATTTATGTATTTTTTATTTTATTTATTTATTTATTTTTTTGAGACGTAGTCTCACTCTGTCACCCGGGCTGGAGTGCAGTGGCACGATCTCGGCTCACTGCAACCTCCGTCTCACAGGTTCAAGCGATTCTCCTGCCTCAGCCTCCTGAGTAGCTGAGACTATAGGGCACGTGCCACCACGCCCGGCTAATTTTTTTTTTTTTGTATTTTTGTAGAGACGGGGTTTCACTGTGTTAGCCACAATGGTCTCAATCTCCTGACCTTGTGATCCACCCGCGTCAGCCTCCCAAAGTGCTGGGATTTCAGGCGTGAGCCACCACGCCCGGCATTAATTATTATTTTTTTAGAGACAAGGTCTAACTCTGCCGCCCAGGCTGGAGTGCAGTGGTGCGATCTCAACTCACTGCAGGCTCAACCTCCTGGGCTCTAGCGATTCTCCTGCCTCACCCTCCCGAGTCACTGGGATTAGAGGCCTGAGCCACCAAGCCTGGCTAATTTTTTAATATTTTGTAGAGATGGGGTCTTCCTATGTTGTTCAAGCTGGTCCCTAATTCCTGGGCTCAAGCAATCCTCCTGCCTTAGCCTCCCATGGTGTGGAGATTATAGGCATGAGCCACTGCACCTAGCTAACCCCAGTTTCATCGAAAACTGAGGCTCGGCTGGGCACGGTGGCTCAAGCCTGTAATCCCAGCACTTTGGGAGGCCGAGACGGGCGTATCACGAGGTCAGGAGATCGAGACCATCCTGGCTAACATGGTGAAACCCCGTCTCTACTAAAAAATACGAAAAACTAGCCGGGCGAGGTGACGGGTGCCTGTAGTCCCAGCTACTCAGGAGGCTGAGGCAGGAGAATGGTGTCAACCCGGGAGGCGGAGCTTGCAGCGAGCCGAGATCGCACCACTGCACTCCAGCCTGGGTGACAGAGCGAGACTCCGTCTCAAAAAAAAAAAAAAAAGAAAACTGAGGCTCAGCAAGCTTGTCAGTTCCCCAAAGTAAAAGTCAGCAGAAGGCTGGAGGTGGTGGCTCATGCCTGTAATCCCAGCTCTTTGGGAGGCAGAGGCAGGTGGATCACCTGAGGTCAGGGGTTCAAGACCAGCCTGACCAACATGGTGAAACCCCGTCTCTACAAAAATACAAAAAAAATGGGCCGAGCGTGGTGGCCCCAACACTTTGGGAGGCTGAGGCAGGCGGATCACGAGGTCAGGAGATCGAGACTATCCTGGCTAACACGGTGAAACTCCATCTCTACCAAAAATACAAAAAATTAGCCAGGCGGGAGGCTGAGGCAGGAGAATGGCGGGAACCCGGGAGGC